CAACTCCCCCTCTTGACTGAAAGGTTGTTAGAACTCAGGTCAGGCAAAGTCCTGTCCTGTCCTCGTCTCGAGATGTGTTTGTCGTCGTTCTCCAAAGTATCGCCATGTTGGTAAGCTTTGGGTCTTTTCTGATTGCGTGTTTTTGGCTGCCGAAGTATTGCAGTCCTTGCATGTGGCGGGATGGGTAGATTGCCGGTTAAGATGGCATGGTGTCCACAATGCCTTGACATGGCGCAGACAAGAGAGGGTTGGGTCGTCATGAAGTGGAAGGTGAGGCTCGACTGGTTCACGCGTCGTCATACGAGCGGATGCGAGCGGTCCTGCAGAATGTCATCCCGCATGTGAGAGCGGTGGTTTGCTGCGGTGTTCTCGTGATGTGCCTTTCCCCAGATGTGCTGCCCTTGCGTCCAGAGCCGTGGTGGGACAGAGTGCATGCTGATAGCCTTGTGATGCGGCATGCGACGTTTCAAGCCCTTCAACAATGGCCGGTATAATGCTGCCTCACGCAGTGCGGCCATTCGGATGCACCACAAAGAGACGGACAGAAACCCCCGAAAGCCCGAGAGGCACGTGAGAAAGAAGAGAAGCAACGCGTCTCAAACTGCACGGCTGAGTGAGCAGCAGACTGAAAATCACGAGGCCCAATTGAATCATGTGTCTAGAGGCTGACAAGACCTGCTGCGCAAGCTTGCGGCGCGTTTGTAGAAGTATAAGTCCGACCAGCTTCAAACATCAGATGTCAGTGATGGAAAATACGCTGAGGCTGGCATGTGTCGTCTTGCTCGTAGCCTTTGGACACGCAGTGGCATTGGAACTTCTGAAGAGCATTCCCCACGAGCATGCATTCATCTTCCAGCCAGCGGTCCGCCTGCAGGTCTTCTGAAGCTGGTCGAGAGGCTTGCAGCATTTTTGAGGTTCATGTGATTGTAACAGTATTGAAGCGACGTCTGGGCCGAAATCCGGTGTGAATGCGAGCCATGGCCTGTGACAGCTTCCAATCGTCCCCTTTCAGGTTGTCGCAGCAGGCAGATGCCGAAACCAGTGCGCCGGAGGAGCTCTCATCCATCAGAGTCACTATAGTCACAGCATCGCCCATTGTGGCCCTCTCGCACTTGGTGGCTTTAGGTCGTCCTGTTGGCCTTTTTTGCTGTGGCTCCTGTCAGCTCCTGTCCAGGAGGACACGCAGGACGAGCCAGAAATCAACCCGAAAGTTGTGGGTCCCAAGATACAGGTGACCCAGGCACCGGGCCCGAGGACATCTCAAAGTCTCGGCTGCACTCTGCTGGACTGTGCCAGGTAGCTGTGGACCCTGACGAGCCTCGAACGGCCGATGAGCCGGTAGTGCAGGCCAAGCCCTTGGCCCTTGGCCTTGGCGTGAACGCGTAAGACACAATGCATACTCTGAACATCTCTGAACCATAAGCTGCAAGTACTTAACTTACTTGACCTCTTGTTAGCGTGAGAGCCTCTTTCGCTTAAATCTCGTCAGCTGGCTTGAGGCCCCATGTCCCAGCCCGCTGGATCCAGCGCCAACTGACCTCACTCAGTTGCAGGAGGCAGAGCATGTCAGAGCTGCAGAGTGGCCGTGACAAGCCGGTAGACTTGGGCCGAGAGCATTGCACAACCGGCAGAGGGCCCCTTTGTGGGAGAGCTGGCCGCGCTAGTCGAGAAACTGCAGGCTCGCAGACATGTCAGAGCAACGAGCTTTCCATTCAAAGCGCAACCCAGGCCTTGCAGGAAGCCACGCTGACGGCCACGCAGGGAGTGGCCTCCCTTGGCTGCTTGGCTCCGTTTGAGCGTGGCGTCGTCGGCCCCTCACACGTGCACTGCAAGGCAGCTTCCAGCCCCCGAGCCGTTCTGCGGCCGGGGCGCAGGCCGGGGCTCAGGCGGCCCAGGTTTCCGCCCCAGCTCCGGCCGCTCGGGGGCCGAAAAGTGCGGCCGCGCTCGAGGCAAGGCTACTGCGGCGACTCCTGTTTTGCCTCTGCTCTCATGAAAGGCTCTCAAGCGTGAGCTGGCGCTGCTGGAGGAGAGGGGTCTTTCAGCATCTCATGGAGATGTTCTGGGTTGTGGTATGTTGCGAGGAGAAGAAGAGGGTTGTGCAGCACCTCGCCCACACCCTGGAGCCGGACGGCTCCGACTCAGAGGATGCCACTTGCGCAGCTTTGCATGGCTTGTACGCTGCTTCGTCTTCGTGAGGAGGGCGACGGCTTTCCGCTGCGCTGAGCACTCCACATTTCCAGAGAATCTTATTCGCACCGCACAAAACGTGCAAAGCTCCCTGCATTTCACCCACGGTTCAGGGAGTCTTAATCAAGGAACCGGAGGGTGCACAGCAAGCGACGAGCCTGCTTACAGCAAACAGTGAGGTGGCGCAAGAGCGTGCATTTCTCTGTTTCGACCGTTGAGGGAAAAGCAGAGATGCAAACAGAGATATGCTGTGTCTAAGGTCCGAGGATGACGCTCCAAAGGAGCCAAAGGAGCCAAAGGAGGCCTCCCGCCCGTCTCGTAACGTTCCTCGCAGACACAACTCGTTTCTCGTGAAAATCTCAGTGTAAGTTGGTCAGCTGGTTTAGGCAAGTGCGCTGTTGTCAGCCGTTGCTCGGGTCATCAGCTCCAGTTCTGACGGCTTCTTGCAAAACCTCAACTGCAGACCACAGAGCCGTTTCGGCCACAGACCGCCAGAGAGGCATCTTACTGTTAAAGTGTCTGAAGCGCCGCTGGCTGAGATCAAAGCTGAAAGGTTCTCTGTTGACTTGCTTCTGAGTCTGCGTATGTTTGCGTTCTGCGCTGCGAGGTCCTTCTGGTTCTCATGGCTTTCCAGGCGATGGCGAAGGACTTCGACCTTCTCAGGTCGCAGCTCCTGGACGTGATCAAGGCCAGTCGGAGAGTCGAACGGAACGGGCCGCGCGCGCGCCGGCTTGCCCTTCTATGCCCTAGGCGAACCGCGCCAAGGGGGTCTCGAGCGATGAACATCCGTCAGTGGCTGGCAACCCGGCAGGAGGAAGCAAAGAACTGAAGTTGGCGTTCCCTTTACATGACAAAGAGAATGCAGGTGAGACCGCTCAAGACCACTGCCTGGTTGAGGTTGGGCGGGTCTCTTCGGACAGGTTGAGTTTTTGAGTTTCAAAGCTCCATACTGTCGTCCTGCTTAGCACAGGGGCCAGCAGCCCTTCCACCCATGGCCATCTCCCTACTGGAGCAAGTCCAGGAGCCAGGGCAGGGTCTGGGCAGATTTGTTGAGGACAAGAGAACAGATTCTGTGTTATTGGCGGATGTTTGCCGGGCATCCGCAGGACTACAATGCGAATCCAGATAGAGAAACCTGGCAGCATAATGCGTTGTATCACATGGTGCAGAGTTTGAGGCACGACTCACTCTTGTTCTTTTCTTCCAGCCGGCATTCGTCCCTCTGCGCCCAGGAGCGATTTTCGAAGATGGTGACTTTGGCCGAGCAGATGGATGCAACCTCTCTGCCGCTCGGTGATCTCCACGAGCGGCAATCATCGTAGCCAGTATATTCGATTAAGGCATAAGAAGGGCACAAGAAGGGTTGGAGTGGAGCAGCAAGTGATGCCATTGGATGCTATAGGCTGCACATCTTCAGCTCAGGTTGGTGTCGGCGAGGGTTCTGATGGACCCGAGGGGGGGGTGTTCCACGCTAGATTCTCCAGCCGTTGCTGAAAACTGTGGCTGATGATTTGTGCATGTCTGTGTGCGCCCCTCTCTCCGTACTGCATATGTGTTTAGCGCAGGAATGTCAGCATGTCAAGAGGCCGCGGGAAGTGGACACACAAACTCGCCCTGCGGGTGCATTGCGTCTGTATAACCTTCCTGGCTCACGTTATGTTATGAGTGTTGAAGCTGCTCTTGTGCGGCATGGGCTGAGTATGAGGAGATCTTGGTCCAAGCGAACCTTGCAGAGTCTCATCAACGGCTGCGGGCGTTCAAGCATGCCCTGAAAAGCTTCGTGACCATGGACTTCCAGGAGTCTCAAGATTTTCGCCGGGTAGTTTGGGTTGAGCTTGCAGGGAATGCCTGCAGAAACACTGGCGTTTCTCGTTAGACCAGTTCATGAACGCAGGAATCTCTCACTCCTACACAAGCCCCTGCACCCTAAATTTAGGATTGCTGCTTTTTTGTCTTTTGCATTTGCTCGCGCAGCTATTTGTATCAGGACCCAGGCGACACCGCGATCAAGACTTTTCGCGGCTGTTTTAACAAGATGACCGTGCCTTGTCTGTTCAACAGACAAAGAGACCTCCTGCGCCGTGTTTATTGCGGGGGGGTGGCCAAGAGCTTTTGAGGCAGAGGGCATCACCCATGAACAGATCCGGGAGGCGGGTTGTTCAAAAAGCAATCTCCATGTTTATGAACTGAGTTCCGTCTCTTTTCGCTTTGTTGACAGGGCTTTCTCATGCTCGCGACTGGCGTTTGCCCACGTGTCCGTACCTTTTTTCTCAACGTACTCGGATTGTTCTTGGCTGGACCTGACCGAGCTTCGCGCGCCCTGCGAGACGCACGTCGTAAAGCTTTCTTCGTAGCGATCCGCAGGTTTCGCAAGTGTGACTTTTGACAACCGCAACTTCTCGTGTGAATCGTGTGATCTCTTGCGGTTGCACGCCGGGAGGCTCTTGTGAACCACAAGATCGAGCTCGTCTTGACCGCGCATCCGACGCAGGCTGGGGAAATCGCGAAGACGAGGTTTGGTGGACCACTGCCCATTTCAGCTGCCGGCAGGCCCAGCGCCGGAGCAATCTTAAGAAGCACGAGAGCATCTCGCAGCTTCTCAAGGCGCGACTCTGCTCGCGGCGTTGCAGTGTGTCCTGGCTCGTGGATGCTCGCAGTCAGCGAGTTTTGGTGCCAGGTGCACGATGCCAAGGACTCCCTCACGCCCGGTGAGCAAGAAGAGCTGCGGGCCAAGATCCAGGCGGAAGGGTTAGAATTAGTCCAGATCCACGCCGCACCCTGCCGCTGCAGGCTCTTCAGTGGAGCTGCTGGCGCACAAACGCAGTCCGTCGCAACCGGCCCACTGCAGAAGGTCCCAGAACAGAAGCATTCAGACCCAAACGCCAATCGAGTTTCGGGGTTCTCGGAGTGGGGATATTTTCGCACCGCATGTATTGAGGTGAAGCACGCAATGGAATGCTGGTGATCGAGGACTCCACAAAGTATTTCGTGGAAGCCTCTCTAGACTCAGCTTCGCAAGGATGCGGTCTGGACGGCAGTGCCGGAGCATTACCGACGTATCGACCGCTGCTTGAAGCACCGTGGGATGCCAGCGCTGCCCTACGATGCCTCGGCCCTCTGGCTCAGAGTGCAGGGAGATGGCCACAAGACAGACGTGTCTTGAACATGGTGTCTCCGAAGGTCATCAAGATGAGTACCTGGATGGGTGGCGATCGGGATGGCAACCCCAATGTCACGGCCCTTTGCAGCAGAAGGACATGCATGCTCTTTCACTTGTTCCCAGCGTTGATGGCAGCTTGATGCCCTTTAATCGGTATGGTAAAGGGGAGAGTTTGGAAAAGCATGTGCCGTTTCTTGATTTTGCCACTAGATCTGCAATGCCGGCAGTCGCTGCCACTCCATGCCCCCAACCCCAGCTCACCCAGACCCAGCCCAGCTCAGCCCACCCACCACTAAGGATGGATAGGGTTGGTAGATATTCGTACCAGTAAACAGAAAGTTTGTAGTAGCATCGTCTTGACAACAACCAATCACACCAGCAACAGCAATGGTGCAAAGGAGCATTCAATAGGCCGATTTCCGAATTCCCTTTTCAGGCAAGTTAGGTGGTTTTGACTGTCGAAGTTGACCCAAAGTCCAGGCAGAGGGCTGCAGTGTAGGGGTAGGAAGTTGTCGCATCCTGTGTAGGCATTTGATGTAGCTGTCGCTCATCATCGCAAAGTGAGCTAAAATACTTTCGCGTGTGTTGTAAGGTTACAAATTCAGGATTACGGTTTCCACGCTCATTCGGGGAATGCTTATGAGTTGTTCTAGGATCACGTTTTGAGTGCTGCTGAAGCTTTTCGAGTGTTTTTGGAGGGCTTCTTGCATACACGTTTCATGGCTTGCGTGCCGTTCGAGAATGCGCGATGTCATGAATAGCTTCTGCGTGCATCTTGGCCATGGCATATGCCCAAAGCTTTTTGGTCTAGCGTTTTTGGCACTATGGTTCTGTGAAGCTTTGGGGGTCTGGAATTTGATGCCACGGGTTTGTCATGTTTCAGCGTCTGTCAACGGAGCGCTTTCATATCTTTCGCTCAAACCCCCAAGAGTTGAAGTACTTGGCGAGTGCGATTCAGGCCAAGACGACTCGTCAAGTCAATGCTCTTCTGCGGTGGCGCATCGCCGAACTCTATTACACTGAGGCCGGGCAGAAATCCTCGAGATGCATGCATGGCCCAGAGAACCCGGTAAGAGTCTTTCCACGAGTGCAAGGTCGATGCCTTGCTTTTCGACTTGTCAATGACGGGTGCCACCAGTGAGGCGCCGTCGTTAAAAGGAATTGACGGATCACCACCACGCATTGACAATGCCTGTGCGCTCGTTCTCTGCCCGGTAGAGATGTCAATGAAGCAGCCGGAGTGGTGTGGGATGCGCCAGGAGCTGCAGCAGGAGTTGAAGAGTTTGGCAAGCATGTGGCCGGATCCCAGCTTCGACGGTGACAAGGCCCAAGGGATGAACAGAAAATGATTTCACAGCTCAAAGCTTATGACCCTAAAAGGTTAGTGGCACCACACCATGCTACAAGGCGTAGCCACAGCCCCAATGATGCTAAGGCAATGGCAGAACAGCAGTAATAAGAGTAATAATTGTATGTTTGCTACTCCAACAACAGCCTACGGCCACGGCGACCGCCGGTGCCTACGGCCACACCTTGCGCTGGCGCCTCGCATTTTGAGGGTACGTCAGGATCTCGCGGGCCGAAGGGGCCTTGTTAGTGCGTTTAAATTGAGTTGCAGCCGCAAAGCTTTCCTGGACTTGGTTTGGCAGTGCAGGGTCCCCGTGCCTGTCTGGTCTGGGGAAAGGCCCCACTTGCAGTTTACTGGCGTGCCTGCAATTCAGGTTGGGTGGGAAACTGTGGTAATTACGTGGCAGTGTCTTGTTTGTTACTAGTTACTAGTTCTTGTTTTTAAACTTGCCCCGAATCCTCACGATCACGTTTTAGGAACCTTTTTTTGGTTGCTGCTCAACAGTCGACGCGGGGCGCGAGTCCTTGCTCGTCACGATGTATGTGGTTATGGAATGGCCGTATCGCCTTCTGGTACGCACGTGTCCGTTCCGGTCACCAGGCGAAACACGGGGAGCTAAGGTTGGTCTGTCTGCCTTGCTTGGATGGGCAGGGGTGACGCTTCTTTCGCTTATCCCAGGATGTTGAGGACCACTTCTCGATGCATGGACTGTCGTGCACGACAGGCCAGAAATGCCAAGAAGCTTTGCTGTGATTTGCTCGAAAGCTCAAGATGAAAGAAATGGAGAGGTAAACATGTCGCTATGGAAATCCCCCTTGCTCACAGATGCTCCAGCCTATGGTTGCGGAAGAGTTGGCTGAAGGTTGGAGCGTGAATCGTCTAGCGGTGCTTCATGATGCTGCTGACGGAGCCCTGCCGATCCAGATGGAGGGATGCGTTTGCGGAGTTGAAGCATCCAATGTCGGTGGTCTATCAGACACTTATGTCAGAAGCGTCCGTGCACGGACCCAAGAGAAATCAGACGAGTTGGATCGGCTAGCGCATCGCAAGATCTTACCATTCCGTCGGCTTACACATCGAGCCCGACTGAGGAGGCAGGCGCAAGCCCACCGATGCGGAAGAAAGCGGAGGGCAACCGCAGAATCAAGTCCTTGGCAGTGTTTACGGGGCATGCCGAGTTGCCGGGGGCGTGCGGGGAGCCATGGTCTTGGGAGCGTGCGTCGGAGCCTTGCGGTCGCAGCGTACCCATCAGCCAGCTCAAGACGTTGATGTTCATGGACTCGAGCAACAACTCTGTTCGCATCCAGAGGTTACTGGCGGTCCTGCGCGTCGGCGGTTCCCGGTTTGCCAGGGTTCTAGCCTATTTATGTGCAAGCACGAAACCTCTGAGAAGAGAGGCCGAACACCGTCTGAGGGAGGAGGCCGAGGCCGGTCATCATGTCGTGCGACCAGCTCTGATGGAAAGCCTTGTGAGCATGCGTGCAAGTTTCTCCACACTGGTAAACCCGTGTCTCCGGGCTCAAAGGCCAGTAGGCTTCCGACAAACGACGCTGCTGCTGCAGCTGTGTGCCTCCTACGGGCATAGATCGCCGCAACTTCTCATCGGGAAGTCATACAGGTACTTGAGTGCCTGTCACCGGCCGGAATGCTCTGCTGCGCAGTGGGTGTATCCCCACGACCTTCCCGCTAGGGTGTGGACAAAGCATCCCCGGCCTGCCGCCTGTACGTAACTGCTGCATACAGCGAGAGGTCCCAGACCCCGTCCGTTTCTCCCGAACAGCCAAAGGCTTCGCGACTCTCTCTCGCGTGTGGAAGCAAGTAGCACAAGGAACCCGAAAAACAAAACCAAAAAACCTGTGCATTAACTAATTCCGACTCGACTGCAATATACTACGATTTTACACAATACAGTCTAGTTGAATTTACTGCAACATGGCACAATGTTTTGCATATACATACAACCCAGAACATAAAATGGTCTTATCAGTTCATTTAATACAGTGTTACAAAACACAACCGCCCACAAGATGATATCGGAAACTACAGTTATCAGCCAGTATGATAGCACATAAGACTGTTTCAGATTTTGCGATTTCCTTCGGCTGGTGACCACCCCAATTAAAGGTCAGCCCGGTAACGCCTGTGACCACCCGTCCAGAAGTCAGCCCCGTGACGCCGCTGACCTCGACCTCCAAAAGTAAGCCCCGTAAAGCCGGTGAATACGAAACCAGTAGTTGGAATACCATCTCATGAAGCTCATTATCTCACATTGTCAAGTCCCACGTAGTGTAACCAACTAACTTCAACCACAAGGCTTCATGCAGTGTCATGTAAAATCATACAGTGTTATTACATGTCCTCATGTAATTTAATATCATGCATTGCCATGATGTTGCCATGTGTTATCATGTAATATCATGCAATATAGTGTAATATCATGTAATACCATGTAATATCATATGCAATGTCATGCAACACCATATGGCATCATATAAACCCATATGCTACCTCTTCGTTTACTGCTATAAGTTACCGTACAATACCGTATAGTATAGTAAAATAAATATTAGATAATGTCATACTTTCCATATGTTAGCACAGAGTGTGATATATGATCATGCAGTACCAGAATACATCACGTAACATGATGAAATGTAACATACCTTTATTTTTAGTGAAACTCAAATATGGCCGTAAAGCCTAAAATCATATGATCTCATGTACTATCATATAATGTCAGGAAATACCACATAGTGTCATACGAAACCACAGAATATTTCATACTATAACACAGCAGCGCAAAGTGTAATAGTAGAGCATGACACAGCACAGTGTGGCATAATGTAATGTAAAAGTTCCAGATACGATAACATACCACACACCGCATCACATCCTGACGTCTGCGTCAGGCCCGAGCATGTCTGGCCTCACATTCCGTGGGAGGCCCTGACACGACGCGTCAGGTTTGGTACCCCTTACAAATGACTGAATGCTTGGCAGCTTCGCAGCTTCACCGGCCACTCGCAGCTTCCAGGGTGTTTGCAGCTTCGCAGGTTCCGATATGATATAATACGATGTAATATGATACAGCTATGATATAACATGATAGATTATGCTTCACATGATATGATCTTGATATATCATGATTGAAAATTTCACCTGTTGCACCATGATATAGTATGTTATTTTATGATATAGTAAGATGTGATATGTCGTATTATGATTTACTGATTACCAGTGTAAAGTATACAATGATCTATTATGATATGAGATAATATGATGGGATATATTATGGTATAATATGATATATTCCGCTCTAATGTAATATTGGCATATCATGCTTTACATGTTGCAACATGATAACGTAGGTCATGTTATGATATAACATGATATCATAAACAGAAGATGACATAACATGCTATCACATGTTACAAGTTGACATAGTATGTTATAAAGTAGAATCATATGATATATTGTGATGCGAAAAAGGTATAGCATGATATAGCATGATATCGTACGACATAGTATGATGATGTAAGATGCTATAATAGTGTACAACATGTTTTAACATGATACGATATGATATAAGATGACCCCCCAAATGCAATATGTAATATTGGGTCCCGCTTGGGCCAAGGGCGGGTGACATGCCGCCCCATGACAACAAGCGCCGAGACTGGTCGAGTAGGTCCCCCTCCGACCGAAGTCTTGACAGCAAGAGTCAGAGTATAGTAACAGCAAGGGCAATTTTCTAGTGGTCGTCGTAATGGTGATCGTAAGAGTAAATGTACCGCAGGAGTAAGATCACGTAAGAGTATCAGCAAGATTAAGTTCACGAATAAGATATAAGAGTAACAGTCCTTTTTGGGGTTTGCATACGGTGGCTTGTGGATTTGCGCAGTTTGACAGCAATTCTTGGTGTCAGTGTAAAAATAGTAGTAACAGTAACAGCAATAACAATAGTAATAAATGTGGAATTAACGCTAATAACCAGTGATCACCCTTCATTACAGTACATCCCAAGAGCCATTCTGGAAGCAACGGTTCCCCCAATTGTTGGGATACCCTTCCAGGGTAAGGGTCCCGATAAAAAACATAGAGTCAACTCCAGGGTCTGAGGTTTCCGACGAAAGTCCCAGGACAGGGACAGCCAGTAAATGCCAAATCAAGTTGGCGCAGTACACCACCTCTTTGGTTGCCAGGTCTGTGTTCCAGACACTCGCTGTGGTGTCCACTTTAACTTCCACAATGGCGTTGCTCGCGACGAGCCCTACCGCCGGTGCCTGGGCTCATGGTATTTTGGTGGCAGGGTGTTTTCACGAGCCCCAAGAGAGATGCACGGAGGAGCTCCCCATGTCCCAAGCCGCCACAGGATGCTAATGAGCGTTCGCCGCCGGCTCTTCCGCACGAAGAAATCCATGGAGAGCCTCTACCTGGGCAAGCCAGTGGACAAGGACTTCGAATCAGAGATATACAAGAGCCACGGGATTGCAGTTTGGGGAATTACTTGCTTTGTCTGTCGCGCATTTTGTTTGTCCTAGCCTGCGGTGATGGTGTTCGTGAAATGCCCGATGTTGTTTGGCTGATGCAAAGGCACCACAGAACTCGCACGGCCTCTGGAGATTGTTTACCGATCTCTAGTGAGCACGGGCGATGAGGCCAGGCAGCCTCGGCTTCTGTTTTGCTGTCTTGGCGTGCTGCAGGTGTGTGTGTGTGTGAACTCCTCTCG